AAGGTGGTAATAACATGGGGCAGGGATATTCCCACAATGCCCTGCTGCGGCTGTGCTTGCGGCGCATCTTGGGAACAGCCCTCCCTGAGGCCGGAGGGGCCCAGGGACAGGAGGGAGGCTGGGACCGTCTCAGGCCCAGCTCCTGATAACGTGTTTGGCTCTGCTTGCGTCTGAGGCTGTTTAACATAAAGCGCAGCTGCGCGGGGGAGAGCCGAGGCACGCGGCACCAGAAATCCCCCGGTGCTCTGCGTACAGAAAACACGGGCTGGCTCTGTAAACAGCCCCAGCGCGTTCCGTCAGCACGGGCCGGCCAGGGAGCATCAGCACCCCGGCACGGCCTTCCCAAAGCGGCCCGCTGGCCGGGCCGGCGGCGGGGAGCAGGTTCACCAGGTGATGGTTTTTCCTCTGTCACCACATCGTTCAGTGACCTGCCGAGCCCAGGGATGGGTTACGCTGCCCCAGCCCAGCCCTCTCTCACTTTGCTCATCTCCCGACCTTCCTGCAGGCTGCCAGAGCAAACGCCAGCTTTCCCTGGGAAGAAATGGCTGCTGGCTGAGGTTGCAGCCTTTCAGCCACCCCCACCAAGGTTTGCCTCATTTTAAGTCCCTCTCGGGCTAGGGAGACAGAAACAATAACGCATCATGTTTTCTAGCCCACGTATTTGCTGGTGCCATTAGTTTGTGCTCAGGCTAACTGTCCAGTAAGCATTTGCTGGAGAGAAAGCACGGGGCTCTGCAGAAACGCAGATGTTGAAAGTCATGGGACTTTGCTGACTTACATCAATTTTCTGTGGGTTGAGCAATCATCCCCGGGCAGGGGCAGGAGCCTCTCCCTGCTCAGCCAGGGCTCCCGCCCAAGGGAAATGCCGTCGTCTCCCCACGGAGGGACCAGACAGAGCAGTGGGTGGTGAGCCGGTACCTTCGAAAGCTCCTGCCAGTATGATTCACTGTCACTTTGAGAAATTCCTCTTATTCTAGTACTGGCTTCCCCAAGCCAGTCACCTCAGTGTCACCTACATCATCACACAGATGATTTCACCCTGATCTCCCTTTAAAGCCACTTGTTGATCATCCCCGGTCGGGCTTGGTGCCTTGATTGCTCAATGGATGGAAGAGTTGTACACAGCTCCTTCAAGCTCTTTCCAAAGCTGATGCTGAATTCAGCATTGATCTTTGGCTTTTCCATCAAGGCTGGCGGGAAGAAGGGCGGCGTAAGTGACCTTGACCTGAGCCAGTAGCTGGGTGCGAAGAGGCAGCGCTCGGTGCTGCCGAGGGGTTTATAAACAGCCGTGGATCACCTTTTGTTGCTTTTTCCCCCGTTGAGCAGTTGCACCTTCACGTCCAGGGCCTGCAGCAGGATCACTGGTTGGGGCGTAAGAGCCCAGCTGCCAGGGGACACTGGCAGAGGCACGGCCCAGGCTACGGCTGCTGCGCTGGCGTGGAGCCCACCCAGGTCCCTGCCAATGCCACTGCTGCCTCCTCTAACAAGCACCAGGCAGCGGGTGTGAATTCTCTCAGTGTTCATTGAAATAACATTAAGTGTGATGGACTCCTGGGCTATTAGAGTGGATGTAACATGTAATTGAGGCTGGTTATTCTTCATCTGGAGTGTCCCCCTTCACTAATGGCAAATCAGGGCAGAACACATGGTGTGCGCTTTGTGAATCCCGGACTCAATTCACTCCCTGCCTCCGATCAAAATGATCCCAGTGAATGTCAATGAATGAGTGGGGGACAATGAATTAGAGTGAATGAAAGCCTTGTAATGGGGCCCTTCGCCAGCACCGAGCCACAATGGAGCACCACAAGGACGGCGTCTGCCTGGGCGGTGTTTGAATTCATCCCCATTAGCACAATTAGGGTGAAGATTACAGGGTGGGGGCAAGGTCGGCTCCGCTGATGGGGCTCTCCAAGCCTTCTTGCTGCCATTTCTTTGGAGACCGAAATGAGCATGTTTTGGAGAGCCTGGCCCCAGCTGGGCAGGGGGACAGCGGGCTGAGCTCGTCAGTCTGAGCAGAGACAGGCAGATGCTCACGCAGCCCAGGGTGGGTCTGTCTCATCAGCCTGGTGTTTGTTAGCTGGGGTGTGTGTGTGTGTGTGTGTGTGTGTGTGACAGGTCGAAAAATCAGAACCCAACTTTGATTGCAGATCCCAAAGCCAGCTCAGGGGATTGCTGCACTCCCAAGTTTTGGATGAAGCCATTCTCTTCATTAAAACATAAGTCAGATGCTCCAGGTAGCACATGCATGGCTTTTCACCGTGGAAATGCTCACATTTTCCCCTGGGGCCACATTCCTGGTGTCTCAAAGACCCAGATCGCTGAATAAAACAGGGGTACATCACCTGGCAGCGATCGAGGGAAAGAGGAAGGAGGCTTCTCCTGCATCCAGGCTCTTGGCAGCTGCTGCTGCTTCTGTATTATCTCTGCATCTCCCAACAAACACCTAAATGTGTGGGTGCATCTGCACAGAAATGATGAATAATAATTCAAGAGGGAAAAAGAGTAGGCGAGAGAGTGCAGGGGAGAAGGAAGCTTTCGCATACTGAGGGGAGAAGAACTGGATCAGCAGGGAGGGAGTAACAAAGCCTGGAAGGAAAAGGCAGCTCTGAGGAAGGTGACCTGTCTGGGGAAGGCAGAGAGAAAGCTACTGCCTGTGAAAACTCAGCAAGGAAGAGGGAAAGGCTTCAAAGAAACTGTGCTACAAGGAGATAAGATTAAATTCCTGCAGCCTATTCAGAAAGGAGGCGATGGGGAGAGCCGCTCTCCCACGTGCGATTGCAGGGTAGGCATGACTGCAATGACTGTGGGATGCCATTCATTTTTTTCCCCTCTGTTTCTGCAAAAATAAGACTGGGGGCATCCACGCGTTCAGCCCCTGATCCCGTGGGTTTGGCCCATGCTGCAGGATGGTTTATTTATTGGGGGTCCATCCAGTGCCGGACCCCTGCACCACCACCGCAGGGGGTGAAGAGCCCCACGAAGGGTCAGGGAGCGCAGGCGCTGCCCCTCGGCACGACTCACCCGGGGGGTCGGGCCAACACGGGGCTCGTGCCGACGCCTCAGCCCCCTCCCCACCACGGCACGGACAAAAGAGCTCTTGAAGGGCTCATTTGCCGGAGGCGGCAGAGCGAGAGGGAAAGGCTTGTGTCTTGTCTGGCTTTCTGCCCTCGTTAATTGGTGAGTATCAGGGCAAATCCTGTTTCAGAGCAATCGCATTTAGCACAGAGCGCCAGGCAAGGCCAGGAGCTGAGCTGGGGAGAGGGGGGATGCTGCCGCTTTCGGCTTCAGGGACAGAGAGAGGCCGATGCGGTGGCATCACACATGGACCCGCAGCCGACAACGTGCGCAGCCCCGTGCACCTCCACGCTGCCCCTCGCCGGGCCATGAGAGCCCCACGTGTACCCAGGGCTGTGGTGCCACACACCCCCCTCACCCAGGCACCCCCCCTCTCCAGCAGCCTCCCCACAGGCTGGGGCACCCAACACTGCTTTTTGGTTGGTTGTTTTTTTTCCCCAAGCCCCTTTTACCCTTCGCAGCATGGCTAACCTCACTGAACCGTGGCTGTTGCCAAGCGTGGAAAAACCCTTAAATATACATATATGCGCACGCATCTAAATATATACCTACGTACATAACGACTAGTTTTTGTTTGGCTCAGCAAACAGACCTGGCTCCCAGAGTCAGATTTAACCTAGGGGAAGATGTGCCACAGAGGAAGCAAGGAAGGGGGACAAGGCTGGTCCCCTCGTTTTTGGAGGTGCCTCGGAGCTGGAGCAGAAGCCTGTGCCCTCTGCTCGCTCGGTGGGCTCCCAGCTGTGCCGTCTCCAGAGCCTTTCTCTTTCCACTAACGCGGTGCGTGAATTCCAACTCCTCCACGGCTTTCAAAGTGTTCATTTTTAAATCAAAAGAAGGAAGAAGGAGAAAAAGACATGCCCAACCCTCTCAGGCATGTGTAGGAGGGCTGGGATTGATCGGAACACCTCCTGCCAAGAGGCTGCAAAGTCCCACCTCTCCCTCCCCACATTTCTCCTCTCTCCTGCAGGCGCCCCAAAAATCCAAGGGCGTGTCTATCCAAGGGTGCTCTGGCCATGGCGACAGCAAGCCCGGCATCCCCGGGGCAGTGGGTCCCCGCACCCTGTACTGCTCCATGTTTTAAGGCACCAAACCTCCCCGATGCCTCTGCTATAGGTGCGTGTAGATACGGCGGCTGCTTTCCCCCAGCTTGCTCGCACATGTTGGACGCTGCTGCCTCCGAGATGCTGTCGCCGTAGTTGGCAGCTTTGCTGCTGTGACACTGCCTTTCCCCTTCTGCAGGCGCATACACACAAGCCTGGTGTCAGGAACACACGCTGGCAGAGCAGCCTCCTGTGCCAATTACCCTGTTCCCCGCAGCGATTCCTCCCCCTCCGCGCCCATTACGCCTCTTACGCTGTAAAAATGAATGAAGCCCAAGTCATCGATCACTTTTGGCATATCGGCATCCAGGCAGCAGCTCAGATCTCAGTTCTTACTTCTCTTAATCTACCAAAAATGGATTTAGGGATTAAAGCGGATATTCTGTCTTTCTGGGACTTTTCTTTGACACTTAATCAATCTGGGTCCTCAGGGCACAGAGAAAAAGACAACATAAAGCTGAGGGATGAGCGCAGGTCTGTGTTAGCCCGTTCAGGATGCAGAGGAGCCCGTGCTGGAGCAGGAGTAAGGCAGGACATAATGAAAAAAGGGAAAAATATAGAAGTAACTCTCCAGGCCTTGAGGTTGAGGCAGCGAGGATGCCCTGGCACACCGTGCCTGCACCCTCCATCTGCCCACCCTCTCCCGGCAGACCCCGAGCACTCTCCTGCTGTCGGGTGATATTTTACCCCCGGGACACCTGCTCGGGTGATGGGACCCCAGCACAAGGCAGCTCT